AGCTTAATGATAGAATTATTATTTTTTTAACTTGCTTTGCTGTTGGAAAAAGTTGTTAAATTAGAGATTCCTAATTTCAATTTAACACACACAGAGATAAATAAAGGCAATTATGCCAATTTGTGAAATTAGACATAAGTCAGACCAGTAAACAATGTGACATTGCCTCCAATATGAAGAAACATATTGGAGGCATATTGTGATATTCTTTTTAGTTGTGTGGATGTCTGAGGCAAATTTGCATCAACAGTTAATTGTCAACACTGTACTACACAGGGTCAAAGGACACATCTAACACGAGGTATTAGGTTTACAAAATTTTGCAGGATTTTTGGGGGATATATTTTACTATTATGAAGAGGAAAAAATGCTTTTAAGAGTTTGTAGCATGTAATATAGGTAGTCCTTACAATGATGTTTATCCTTGTTTGAGTCTATGGTGGTCCTTATGCCAAATAAAATGTTTCCATTTAGATTTTGCCAATAGAATAACAATTTCATTCATTTAACATTCATTCTCCAATTTATTTTCTTTTTAGCAGGATTATCCTTTTCAGGTTTTTACAATCCAATCTTATTACATTTTAATCGTTAGTCCAGCCTTAGTTTACCAATAATAAGAGGCTACAAAGAAAAACACCAACTCTGGAGGAAAACAATTAGCCAGTGGCTGTGCTCATGCGGTGCTTATGAATCATTTGCTCTGACACTATCACAGTTTCTTAATTTTTAAAAATGTACCTTTGGTCAGCAACATTCGTATCCAGCAGAATGTTGAGAGCCCAATGAGATGAGGTTCTTCATTGACCCTGCTTTACAACAGAACTACTTCCTTTCTTACTTAGAAAAATCTGTCAACCACATGTCCAACAGGGTAAAACACTTAAAGCTCTGTTATATGTGGAGCCCTTACTCATATCTAGGACCACCTTGAATCACTTGCTGAAAACAACTGGCTCGAAATTACTTTTCGTAAAAGCTACTTTACTTTAAGAAGAAATATTGTGACATTTGGTAGATGTTTTTACAAGAACAAAATGTTTTTGCACCCAATAATTACTATGAAAACGTAGGTAGGTCTATACACCGGATATTAGTTTAAATTATTGTATTTTGTTTAAATAGGGGAAATTAATTTAAAATTGTGTTATTTGATCTTAGTTACACCCAAAAGCCAAAGGAGGATAGAACGAAATCTATGATTCGCTCAAAAGTAACTTCTGATGCAAAGCTGTGATGCAGTTCATGTTTCATTACCTACAGACACTGCAGGTGTGTACTGAATAGATGAGACATGACATGGTGTTGGTCTCCAACCTCTTTTAGTCTGGAATTAAGCCTGTGCTGAAGGCGTAGGAAGCCTCATGACTAGACTGTAATTACTGACACATTTACTCAGACAAAAGCCAGCAAGCTTGAGACAATTTCTTTTTCTTCCCAAAATATCCATTTTCTGCAACAAACTCAAAACTTTAGCAGCTTCCTGGCTTATCCTTCAGTTTCTATTCAATTATTTAAGTTAAAAAATACAAACCGCATCCCACACAAACACTAGTTCTGGACGACACACACAAAAAATGATTTCAACAGCACAAAGTAAATAGATTTTTCCCTCTCTATATTTCTCCTCATTTCCTCTTTGTGAGACAAGCGCTTCCTTGGACTGCAGTTCACTGTCTACTGTCTTTATGCCTTTGTTTTACCTGCAATGATTCACTTTGTCCATTTACATCATCTCTCCTACGCTGCCTTCATTTTCTCCCTCTTATCCAGCTCCGTGTCTTTAGGTTGGTCAGTTCAGCGAGGCCGAGTTACATTCCTGGGATGCTTCTTACATATGGTGCACATTCCTGCCGGGCTGATGAGAGGCCCAGCGCTCCTAGCCGCCAGCCCGACCCTGCAGAGACCAGCTCAAAGCTGAGCATGCTACTGACTTCTTCAGTCTTCTAATATACTTCAGGCAGCGGCTGCATGATAAGGTTGCCGTATTAAAGCCTGCAGATCTAAACTAACCAGGTTGAGGAGCTCTCTTTCTTTCCATTCAGGCTGATTGAGCATGTTCCCAGTGTGTAGAAATGACTTTATGTGTAAAAAGAAAAACTTTTGTCATGTTCAGTAAAAAGTGTAAAAAATAAATTGACATTCCAGTTCTGAGGAGAATTATTCAGAACATGGGTGAAGCATTCAACCTGTCTAGTCTAGCCTGCTGCGTACCAATACCACTCGATCAGCGTTTACCAATTATCCATCTTATTTTCTAAAGCTATAATATCTCTTGGAGCAGGTGAGCATAACTGCAACACCTGCTCTACAAGTATTTTAAGTTTGCTCGGTAAACCCAACATTGAATACTAATCATGATTAGTATTAAAAACTGAAGTTTTGAAGTGACACTTACTTTACCCTGCACTAGCCCACACTGTTAGTTCTGCATCAACAGCACCTTTTATGCAAATTTCTATATTTTTGTGCTATACCTCTTAACATGTAGTGTCATAATACCAGTTCAGTGGCAGGCATTATTTTGACTAGGAAATTATAATTAAAGCAAAAATGCAGAGATCAGTTGCAAAAAAACAAAACAAAAAACAAATGAAAAATAAAAAACCCCCAAAAAAACAGATCTGCTCAAAAGTTTGCTCCATGAAGCTGGCTGGGTGTGGCCTTAGGATTGTGCAACCTCACTGCAGCTACTGCATTTCCACCGCAGATCATCCCCTCATCAATGGGCTGTAGGTGACGGTCAGTGTTCAAGCCTGCACAGTTTACCCCAAGTTCATTAATGCACAGATGATTCAGGAGTGCAAGTTAATAAAAATACATCTGTATTTCATAAATCGGCAACACCGATGAGGCAGGACAGCTACAGAACTAGCACATTATAATTTTGAAAAGCTGATTAATCAGCTGATTGCCTGACATTCAATTTCTCATCATTTTTGACTAAAATGTGCCAAAACTCCCTCCATGCACAAAGATAATTAAATATATGTTTAGAGAATTACATCAAAACTGTGGCATTTTGGTTGACATTTCACTGCAGATTACAGATCGGAACATCAAACGCAAGGTTTCCCTCACATGTTCTCTCCGTGTGTGTCTGTGTCAGGGGAGTGGTGCTACGGACGTCACCGCTGGACGGCTGCATTAATCAAATCCAGCGTTACAGCGATAATGTCCCTGCCAAATAATTGCTGACACACACACACAGATAGACAGGTTGGTAATTCTGAACAAGGAGCATCTAAACCAAGCAAATATTAATGCATGATGTCAAACGTAAGAGACCAAAGGCAAGAAGATGATTTATAAAACACTCCTACAAGACAGACCAATTGGAAAATCCATAGCACATGAGGAAAAAACAACGAATCTATTTCACGTAAGAGTTTAATCTGCTACTTAAGTCAACCAGACTTTATAATTACATTCTTACACCCATATAACTGGAACTACCTCTTAACGCCGCACTTCCTGATTGATGTGTGGGTGGGAATTGAACCGGCTCTATTAACAGCACGGCTAAATCTTTTAAAAATATCACCCTGGGCATGGATGGCATGTCCAGCCCATCAAAATAATGCATATTTCATGCTTCGCAGGTCAGTGAAAGCCGACTGCAGCAGGTTAAAAATCAGACATGAGTCTTACACAGCTGAGGAGTGAATCGATGTCAATAAGACATTTTATAAAAGCACTGCATGAGGTTGACAGTGAAATGAATAGGATTTTTCCATCATGCCTTTCCTACAGTTCAAACATTTTTACAGAGCTGCCAGAGAAAGTGATGGCCCGTTTCTCAGGCCGAGTGGGACTAGCAATGATGCCCCTCCCTTATTTCTTACTTTACACACAGGTCAGCTGGCTGAAAGACGGATATGACACTTTATCTCGCTTTACACATGAGGCTCACTGAATATATTTCTTATCACAAAAACAGAGTCAAACAAAAGGAGTCACCTTACAGTAAGGTATTATAAAGTTAAGTTTTTAAAACTGCTTAAATTTTCAGGTACAGAACTCGTATAATGAGATGCCAGAGAAAGTACTGGAAGGAAAGATATACACAGTATAGAGCAGATCGTTGCCACTCCCTCCCCCCGCCTGCACTTGTTGCTGCAGACTGCTTGTCAACTGGCTGGAAGAAGACTCTCCTCCAACGTTTTCTCACCAAGTAGTAACTCAGATTAATGCATTTGGGAGCATTTTCAACGGACAGACAAAATGTGGAAAGAGAATAAGCAAAAGAGCGCTACTGGTCACAATTTTTACAATACAATGGCTTTAAAAATCGCACTTGTTAAGCTTTGCGGAGCATATCTGACTATATGGGCAGACAGTTTGACTAATTCATCACTTGTATTATGACTTAAAAAAGTGTGACATTCTGTAAAATCAACATGATAAATACATTTTATAGATAGCATCCTACTGATATTAATAATCATGAATAAATATTAATAACTGTAGCTTTTCTATCTCAAATAAAAGCAACTAAACAACTTCTGTTTTCATCTTTTTTTTGCCGTGTGGTATTTTAACACAAAATTCTTATCGGATGCGAGTGGGTTCCTAAAATTTGCCTCTAAGCAACAATCTGTCCAGAACAAGTTCTGAACTGCACAGATGGTATACAGGTGGGAGGAAATACATCTACACTGGCTGAGGAATTTGAGTTCTAAAATGTGAAATAGGCAAGTTGTCATATTTCACCCTGTTGCCTGTCTTAATGTGCAAACTTTCAAATCAAGCTTGCATAAGGCAGAGTAGGAGGGCTACGAAGAAGGCCTTTAAAAATTACATAATCCCTGGCTCAAGAATTTATAGAAAATGGGTCACACAGTACAGCGAGTTTAAAAAAACTTGCAACAGGTTCAACAGAGTTATTATCATGAGGCATGTAAAAAGATAGAAAGGGAGAGGCAAATTTTAAAAGTTTCCATATTCACAAAACATTCTCAATAGAGCAGATTTAAAAACAAATACAATACCACTCTTACCTTCATCAGTCAAATACAACTGTAGATTTCTGGAAGAGGATCCGGGACTGTGCCTGGTTGAGGTCTGCAGCGGGCACCTGGAGATACTGAGGGGAAAAAAAAAAAAAATCAGCAGAAGACAAGCTTGAAAAGAGGAAATGAATGGCGCGGAGGGGAGTGAGAGAGAAACCAGGAGGAGGAAGAGAGGGAGGCGGTGGGGGCAACTCTTCACATCCATGTTGCGCTGCAAAGGGTGGGGCCTTGAGGAATGCACTCTGTGTGCTTCCCACACGACTAACGCGGGGTCAGCCGGACCTGTGCACTGCCGAGGCTCTCACAGGACAACTGTCAAATAGAGCAACTTCTACTTCCTCTGTGGCTGTAATCAGCAGCGAGCCTTGTTCGGGATACACCCGGTTCGTGTCTCTTGACAGTAGGAAAAAAAGGCACAAAAAATACATGTATTTTTTTTTTAGCATTTTTTGAGGGGGGATTTCAATAGTAGAAAATACACAAATTAAATGTTCTTTAATTAGCCTTCTGATTATCAATTCCACATATTCATTAAAAAGTCTCTCAAATCTTCTGGACAGACGCACTTACTTTTAACACAGGTCAGACCATTAGTTCGTCCGTGGCGCACACAAGTCCTACTGTTGTAATAAAATGCGAAATTCGTGCTGCCAAGTTAGTCATATTGAGCGGGGTTGACAGCAGAAAAGTTGCCACGTCTGTCACACATCTCACTTGCAAACGCAGCAGTCCGAAGCAAATGACAGGACACACACTTCTTAACTACGCAACAGTCCCGGTTAATCACAGCTGCCGTGCGGGACTTGAGCGATAAAGAGGTGCGCATATCAACATGTATCTCAGTCCCTGAAATCTGTTATGCGTGGTTTTTTAAAAATTATTAGGCTATTACATAATGAATGCATTTTTAGAAGCCAGCTGGGTTTGGTAACATTTTCAGTCCTGTAACCTTTAGGGGGAAAAAAAAAATCCTCAGCCACACCTTAACTCTCAATCATTTTCTCTGTCAGTTCCAGAGGTTTCGACGACACACAGCTTTAACCCCAACGAGACAGCCGCTTTGCCCCCCTTACACTCTTCGACGTTCACGTTTAAAACCTGTAAAAACGTCAGGTAAAAAAGCGTTCCGGTGTGTGCGTGTGTATCCGGTTGTATGGTCCCACCCCGGGCTCCTCTCCACCGCTCGACGTTCCTCCCGGGTCTCTCTCCTCGACCCAACTCCTCTCTTCAAACCGGCTTCTCACTCCGATCAGCTGGCAGCGGCCTGACGTCTGCACACCCTGCGACCAATCAGAGACGAAGTGAAAACAGCGTCACTGAGCTTCGCTCTACACGCACGATGACGATCAGCTGAACCGACCAATTGAATTTAAGATCACTTCAACACTAAGGCGGGTCTAAGAAGTCTAAGCCAATGATTGTACCCCCGCCCAAAGCAGGCGTCTTTTCCGTGGGCCAATTAGGTATTGGTAAGTACTCAGAAATAACTTTTTTTTTTTTTTTTTTTTTTTTTGGAAAACAGATCAAATTAAAAATACAACATAATTGAAGAATTAAAAGCTATTGATATTATAGGTATTGAATATATTTATTTAAAAATAAATGCAATGAAACCTTTGTGGAATATATAGATATATAAATTCCACAAAGGCTCCTATTTTTTAATCCAGTGTGTTACACAAATGTCAGAGGCAAGCCTCTTTGTTAGATTAGATCTTAGAAACTGATAAGCCACCTGAGCTCTAGTTTTCTGATTTCAGGTATCAGCTTTCATAGTTTTTCTAAAAACCATTTGTCTCCTGCAGTACAGTGCTGCTAAAGACTTCCTTATCTCTTACTAATAACTGGTTGAACCACCATGGGGAGCAGCTCCCCTCCAGCATTTGCAATAACTCTCAGTGAGTCTCTTATATTGGAGGAATTCTGGGCCGATCATCTTTGAAAGATTGTTTTAATTCAACAACAATCAAACGTTTTTCAGCATAAACTCCTCATATAAAGTCACATCCCAGCAGTTCAGTTAGATTTAAGTCCAGATTTTTACTAAGTACTTCCATAACATTAAATTATTGAATGCCTATAACAACTGCTCTGTTCTACAACTTGTTGGACATATTCCTTGAGGATTCTTTACTAGTTGTTGTTAGCCTGGTCATTAGCTTATATGAAATTCCTCTCTATTCTCATGTCTCTTTATCTTCTGTCTGAGATTTCTCCTATTTATCTTGATTTCTCTGTTAAAATTTCAACAGGGCCAATCAATAAATGACAATCGGTGCTCCGCCTGCCCTCATTGTTTGCGTCCTTGGGCGAGACACTTTCCACCTTCCCTGCTGGTGTTGGTCAGATGATTTTCTGCTCTGTTCTACAATTGTAGTGTGCCTGTAGTTTTAGCAATTGACTTCTTGTCTAGTGGTCTGAACTGAATTTGGAATTAATTTAAATGCATTTAATTAGTTTTAATAAATTATATTGTATTTTTCTGCCATTGAACTTACTTCAAAATTGTTTTATGTTAAACTTGTTATGAATTAGTCTAGCTTTTCAACATCACAGAACACAAATGGACTGATGTCTATGAGCAAATTCAGACATATCGCTTTCTGATATGAATTGATTGTGATTCCACAGGTAAGGAACCACACTGGTTTACCTGATCTTTTATTTTTACTTCTACATCAGGGAAATTGTGGGTTCCATTGCAAAATAAACCCCAAATATGTAACTCTGGTATGTGAGTAACTAAAACCCCTTAAGCATTTCAGTTGTTTTTCAGGGTTCAACTTTCCATTCTTTTTAAACAAACACCACATTTCTGTGGTCTGGAGTAGAGTTAGAGTCAGACTTTACCACCACAAAGTGACTGCTCCTTCTTATGGGTGGAAACCTCAATTGGAGGCTAGCTTGTTGAAGTCACAATTCTACATTTGGAAAAGAGACTGGAATGTGCTGCATTTTTCTTTTAAATCCCAGCAAAAAAAGAAACATTTGTTCACCAGCTGTGAATGTAGCTCTCTCTTGGGAACTGAAGTTGATATAAAGATTTACATGATGTGTTGCACTCTACATTCAGCATACGGTAGCAACAGAGCCTGAAAGCAGGGTTTCACTGATACTTAAAGTATGTGATCTTTAATACTGACAACCCATCTTTTTTATAACATTGGATTTAAACGCTTTAAACCTCTGCAGCTAATACAGTGAGTACTTAAAATTCAGTAACTTGTCAAAACTTGTGTTTTAAAGAACAGCAGAATCACAGCCTTGTCATCGTGATACAGCTTTCTTTATTGCGTAAATGTATGGTTTGTTGCTTTTATGGAATTGGACAGGAATGTTAGCACAAGCACACAGCATTCAGGAAACCAAACCTTCCTGTTCTCAACTGGTTTGTACAGACCAGGTTCATACTGTGAGCTGACTGTTCCCTCCACAAGTACACTGTGTCTGTGCCCTCTGTCTTTGACTGTATAGATTTGAGCTCACTTTGAACACATAGCTTTGGTCAACTAACTTAGAGAAAAGTCAAACTAGAAATGAATTGCTCATCTTTAGCTCTATCGCTAAAGGGAAGTTATTGTGTAGCCCTGTTGGAAAAGTAGATTTGTCCCAAAGCTCAAATTTACAAATGTATAGATTTTTTTTCAAGTGACCCTGTAGTGGTGATTATTCGTGCCCAAGTTTGACTTCATCATTGTACATTTTAGTAAATGCTGAAAAATACATTTCGTCTCTTTGACCAAAATATTTTGTTGCTGGGATGGTACGTGGCTTAAAGGTTATCATGCTTCCTAGGATAATATGGGCTAGGTCTATCAACTGTAAAAAAATATGTTAATTATATTTTTTGCACAACATTATTCTCAAATAATGAACTTTCACCTGCTCAGTTTGGCCTATTTCGACTTCCTTTCAGAATAAGCTATTTTAGAGCCTGTTGTTACTATAAATCCAAATAAATTACTGCTGGCCATGCCCCCAAGTCAATGTTTACACTCGCATTTTACATATGTGAAAATTGTTTCAAAGATACTCAACTGTACAACAGTACATCATATCTCACCAAAGAATAAATGCATTTAAATTCAAAGAAAAATGCCAGGAATAGATTAACACATTTTTGAATGACTCAAATTGTACTTACTTTCATTTTCAAGAACTGGATGTGCCTCTGCAATGTTGCTACTTTAACAGTAAGAGAAGAAGAGGTCAGAAGCAAGATAAGTTCATTTTGAATTTAGCTGAACTAATTTCTTACAGCTTCTTTCCTGAAACATTTGAGTTATATTATTAGATTACTACAGACAAGATTAAACAGTTTGTTTTGAATCACAACTACGCTAAAGTTTTCCACGACTTACTGAGTGTAGCGTTTTTTAAAAGACAAAAGTTGGAAGCAATCTTTTTATATTACACTGGAGCAACATCACTGTGATGTTACGATAAAAACATAAAACCATAAACTGAATATATTGAACTGATAAAGTCCAACTGATGGTCAGTCACACTTAAGATAATATCTTGTCTTTTTCTGTTTAATAAACAGTTTTCAAAACTCTTCTTCACAGTAGTTTTACATTGGCCTCAGACAACCCCACTTAAAGGATACCACTCGATCCTTTTAAGCCTGTGTTGTCTTTGGTTAAGGTGCTTTAATTCCTGGAAGTGGATTGGAGATGCAAGACAAACACACAGTTTAAACCTTGGGATGTTGGTAAGTTTCGAAGCTTGACGTCCAGTGTTTTCTCACGATCAAACTGCAAGCGAGATGTCTTACACTTCCTAGCCTAAAGCAGGCCATACCGTACTCTACAAATATATCAGTGAAGCCTTGGCCTGCATTTCTCATGACATGGTGGCTCCTGTGAGTTAATGTTGTCATCAGACCACACTATAATACTTCAGTAATAGTAAAGGAAATATTTTTGCAGAGGCTTACATTTCTGATCTTACAATCTCGAAGTCAACAATAATTGATATCAGTTACCACAACATAGCAGATCCTTTGCCTTCAAATATCTGTGTGGGTGCCTAACATTTAGGAGATTAGAAAATATCACTTAGTTACAGTACCTAACTGTTTCTTTGCTTGCAAATATTCAAACTATTCTCTATTACTTTGTGAATAGTAATTTTTTTCAGCAATTCCTTTTGCTCCACAAAAACATAGTTTATGTTTTACATCATTGTGTTTTTTTAAAGAAACAGACTTCAGGAAGCAGGAATACTTTCTTCAAGTGTTTTCTAAAAACTGGCAGTAGTTTTTTTAGAAACTACTTAAGGTTCCTAAAAACTAGGCAGTAGGTTTTGGAGTTCATTTTGAATCCATCTTCAACCCAAAAATGCCTTATCAGCTAAAATTGTATAGTACCAGCCCATACCATTACCCCTCTTCCGCCTTGTGGAAACCTTTCAAAATCTGTTTTCAGATATTTCTTGGTCCAGTCTAGAAACTTCAGCCTGTATATTTGTTCAGTGGTAGTTGGGTTTCTGCCCTCCTTACCTTGGCTACGTCTCTGAGCACTGAACATCTTGTACTTGTAGATGCTCCAAGTGATGTCTAGAATTACTACAATATTATCTTGCAGTTAAAAGCTGGAGAATAATGGGTTCCTAGTAACTTCATGCCAGATTCTTCTCAAATCCTTGTTGTTGTTTTTTTGTCAGCATTTTCTTGCAACCTCATTACCTCCTTGTGACAAAACCTTTGATGGCTCTGTGATCAAGCCTCAATGTCTGAGCATATTCAAGAGTGTGCGACACATCCTTCTGAGAGGGTTTTGGTCATTTTTGATGAATCAATCAGTGGAATCTCTTGTTTGGTGTGCATAATTTTGCCCAAATTGTGCACACCTTTATATGATATGTTGACCTACTTGGGCCACATCCTCTTCCATTACACACATCACCTGCCATGCTTAAATTCATGTAAGCTTATCAAGTTTGGAGCTAAAAATGATCACATGGCCAAAATACGCACTTGCCTAATAATTGTGCACATAGTGTACAATTATCATCTTTTCACTGCAATTACAGCCTGATTGAACCAAATCATTCTCCTGTAACACATTGCACAGGTAGTTATTATTCTTTTATTTGGTGTGCGAATGGAAAGATGATGGTGCCACTTCCTATGCATCTCATACCCGCACAGCATTTGCTGAATATTGATGCCATGATTTGACATCTCCTTAAAATGACTCA